CTGTTTCAGAATAACCCTGTCCAAAACAGGAGGTATTGGTCAGTACTTTCTACCCTCCATCCACTTGAGCAGATAACATCCCTGAGCACCACTCTCCAGAGTAATCCCTATATTGTCTGCAAAGTGATCTTCAACCCCAGCCTCAAAGAACAGACCACTGATAGGACGAGGAGGCCTATGTAATTATAGGAGCTGTAATTACAAAGGCCAAAACCTACCATTCTAGTTAAACTCTAGCTATTCCAACCTCATGCTGTGAACAGTGAGGGTAGAGTATGCAATGAGAAAGATCTTATATCCTATGAATTCATATAGCCCCTGAGAAGACTTGCTTTCATAGCTGGAATGCTAACCCAAGTTTCTGTCTGCTCGTAATTCTGATTTTGAATTTATACAATATTTTTTATCCCTCTGACCTGGGAAAGACTGAGCAAAAGAAAATGGACTTTGTTAGATCTTCATTAGCCATACAGAAGAATGTTTTGCCTCTCACTGTTGGGCTTGTGTCCTTGACTATTTCTTTCCTACTCTTGTTCACAATTACTCTCCAGGCAGAAAACCCTCCCCCTGCCCCTTCACATCCTAACTACCCATTGCCAGGACCCAACTCTGATATTTTTCTATGAATCCATCTGCTCAGGCTTCCTCAGTGATCTCCCTTTTCCCTGTCTTACAAAAGAGCACTGATACACTCAAAGGACCAGGAGCTAAGAGAGAGAGAGATGCTTTAATATACAGAAGAATAAGACACAGCCCATACCCGTAAGGGGGCTTCCAGCCTAGTGAACGGGTCAGACACCAATAGCTTATTATAATAAAGCTCTGTGATAAGAGATGAGCATCAAGCCCAATGAGAACACAAAGGCTAGGCACCCTGGTGAGACCAGGCTAGGCCAGAGTGTAGTATGGGATCAGGGAATATTTTACGAGAGAAGCAATAGCTTTAGTTGCATTTTGAGATTAACTTTGCATAGAGTATTGTTGAGGTGGTCCCAGGTACGCCTCTCCAAGCACAGAGGCATGAGAGAGCATGGGCTTGCTCCTGGGGGCAGAGGAGTCCAAAAGAAGATTAAGCTATTGACATATTGCAGACATGTTCGAGCACATAGAAAGTTGTCAAAAATATGTTGGTTGGTAGGTTCGAATGGGCTACCAAGTGAGGCTGTATAGATGTTTATAAAGAGATCTTGTGCGTGGCATAAAATCAGATCTTTTAAAAGCAGAAGGAGTGGAGTCTGTGTTTTTTATCCAGAGTCTGAGATCCTCCCCAATTCCTTCAGCCTGTTCTAAGCGGCTGCTTCTCTCCATTTTCCTTTGTCTCCCACTAGGAGGCAGCCTCCTTCCCTTTGCCCTCCAGGACAGGAAGGCTTTAAATAAACGATACATAATACACAAACATCTGTATAGTCCCCCAATATGAATAAGACCTTAAGCTTTGACCTTGATTGACTAGGAAAATGTTGTTCAGAGTCTTGGCTAATTGGCCTAAAGCTCAAAACAGATGATTCTGGAATATGTAACTCTCTGACCTTCAAGTATCCCTGAAGGAGCTGCCCATATACCAATAGACACTGCTTTCTGTGGGCCATCTTCGTGTAGATGGTTAATGCAAGCAGCAATTTACAAATGCAAAGATTTCGGAACGCTGTGGTGGGGAAAGAGTGTTGCACTGTCTTTTTCTGTTGAGTTTATGCAACCTTGGGTCTCTAGGGAGTTTCCACAGAAAGTTAGTTCAGGGTGTGCTGGCTGTTGTGCCGTAGTTTACTGTTTATCTCATGGGGGTTGCGATGTAGGACACTTGTGTTTATGCTAGCGGCTTAAAACTTCTTAGAGAACTGGAACTGTAAGGCCCCAGCAGGCAGCCAAGTATGTTCCCAGGCATGTTTTTCTCAAGGCCTGGGGTTTCCATGTCACCTCTGCCAGTGGTGATAGGGAAACTCAGGAGAAGCTATTTAATTTGATTCTCACTGTCAACATGCTTATTGTATATTGTCTGGGCATGCCAGGCTGTCCTGGGAGAGATTTGTCAATCAGTTCAGCAGAACTTCCCAAAAGTTGTTACATCAGAGGGGTTTAGGCTATTTCTGAGTCATAAGAGGGGACAGCCAAGGCTAAGGACATGGTCAGCATCACTCAGACATACAGCATCTTGTCAAAATAAAGCCTTTGGCTGGCCTCCTGCTTAAGCCTTTTTAAGAATGATTTACTTTGACAGGTAACTGGTGCCAAGTCCAAGATTAGAAGCTACTACGTGTATGGGGGGAGGGGGGAGACCACGCAATGTTTTCAAAGGAGGAAATTCAGCTTTTCCTCCTTTGAGCTTTGCTGAAGTCCCTCCAGGGTTTTCAAAGGGAAAGCCAGCATCGGTTCCTTCAACAAACATGTGCTGAGCCCAAATTCTTGACGGGGCTGAGGACTGTCAAGGACTGGGAGAGCAGCTTTGGCCCGCACACCTGCCACAGAGGGGCTGGCACTCCAGCGAAGGAACACAGGGAAAGCCCCCAAGTCCTTCAGTTTTTCATGTGACACATTCATGAGAATAAATAATAAACAGAAAGGAAATATCACTTTTAAAGAGATAACGCAAAAGCAAAACAAAGACACCAACCCTGATTGCTAAGAGCTTCTATACAGTGGAAGAGTCACACATGTGTTTAATAAAATAAGTTATTATAATGTGGATAACTGCCACCCTTATAATATAGGTGTTTTTGTAAATTATTATGAGAATGCTGAAGAAGGAGTTATGGAGAGAAGCTTGACCGTTTTCCTGCAAAGATTTTGCAATCCTAATGGTAGAGGAAGCCAGGAGGAATCAGCTTTCAGGAGGACAGTGGCCTTAGCTTCAGGCAAATCGTATTTGTTTATCAGCAAATACTTATTGAATGCCTATCATGTGCTGTTAGGTTATTGGGATACATCGGTGAATAAAAGGGAAGGATGGAGGTGGAGAAAAAAAATAAAAAACAAACAAAAAGTGAATAAAAGAGAAGATTCCCGCTCTTATATTCTATCAAACAAACAAACAAAAAACCCAAAAAACATGCAATGACCAATAAAAGCACTTCATTTATAGTAATAAATAGAAAGCAGTTTTTTTAATTGATGGGGATACTAAAAGCCATAGGATATCACATCTCTTGAGGCTGAAGTCCCTCTAAATAATAGTATCAAGTAGTATGTTAGGAAAATGACCCACCCCAGTATATATACTGAAGACCACTATGGCCATTTCAAACTACAAATGAGATGTTTCTGAACATGCAGTTGGGACGAGGGGCACAGGATGCCTCTTTAGGGCTGGTACCAGCTGGCTCCGGAACACACTGGTCATGGGCGCATAGAATAAGGCAACATTACTGGTGGAAGTGACATTGGTAGTACCCTGGTCAAATGATTCTTTTCTATGATGTGTTGCAATCAATTCTGTGAGAGGCATCACAAGTAAATTGCTACAAATACTGTATTTCCTTAAATCACCTCACTGATTAAACAAAAACTGATTCTTTGGGGAGAAAAAAACAGTAAATATGCACAAAATTATTCTATTTATGGCTGGAGAAAAATGCATTTTCACATTCAGTGTTTAAAATTCCCGTCATTTACTTTTTTAGCCATGAGTAGCTACGCAGAGCATTGTGGGGAGGAGCTACTATTTTGGGGAGCTTTACTGCTTTTGAACATTTAACATTGACTTTTAACATGATGCATATTTAAAAATAGCTGGGTTTTGTCTGCATTTGTTTGATTAAACCTGTTTTGTTTCCTGCTTCATTACATTGTGTGTTGAGGAGGTTAAAAAGTTCTTCTTGAAAATAGGCTAGGAAATGCTGTCAGACCCATGTTTGGAGTCCGAGACACAGTCCTTCATGACATACGAGTCAGTTATACCAAGTTCTCCCACCTAGACTTTCGCTGCTTCTAACGTCATTGTGTCTCAACAACAAAACAAAATTCTCCTTAGGTTCCAAAGGACATTTGGTTGTTGCTTTACCAAAACAATGTGGAGGGGCATCACTCCTCTTCTGACAAGCTGTGATTGACCTGTCCCAGCTGTATTTGCCTGCTCTTTTGTATACAGGGAACTTTTCATTTCAATGCTGAAACATGGGGTAATATTTTGATGGTATTTTAAACAATATTTAGAAAACCACATTAAGTAAAAATTAACCGCACTTGGTGCCACCAATGAAAATAATATAATCAGGTGTCAATGAAACAATGGAGAACCCAGCTAAGTCTGCAATTGCTAAGTGGGCAATTCGAACCACTTTTTGGCATGGCGTGGAAGTTGGCAGGTTTTCTTTTGTCATCAGTTGTAAGGTTGATTTGGGAAATGCAAAAAAAGTGTGAAGATATGAAGACAATGAAACAACCACAGAAACACAAAATCCTGACTCTTAGAAACAAGGCAATATCCAGTAGATAGGGTATTGATATTTATAAGAAATGCAATGTTGCTGACTTTAAGATAGAGGAAGAGGGCCATAGCCAAGGAATGTGAGCAGTCCCTAGAAGCTGAAAATGCAAGGATACAGATTCTAACCCAGAGCCTCCAGAAGGAATGCAGCCTCCAGAAGGAATGCAGCCTTGGTGACACCTTCATTTGAGTCCAGTGATATCTGTGTTGGACTTTTAACCTATGGAACTGTAAGAGAAGACATATATGTTGTTTTAAACCACTAAGTTTGTGGCATTTGTTATAGCAGCAATAAGAAACGAATACAGGCCACCTGTAATCCTAGTACTCTGGGGGGCTGAAGCAGGAGGATTCCTTGAGCTCAGGAGTTCAGGACCAGCCTGAGCAAGAACAAGACCCTGTCTCTACAAAATTAAAAAAAAAAAAAAAATAGTAGCCAGGTATGGTGGCAGGAACCTGTAGTTCTAGCTACTCAGGTTGGAGGCTGAGACAAGAGGATCACTTGTTTGAGCCCAGGAGTTTGAGGTTGCAGTGAGCTATGATAATGCCTCTGCACTTTAGCCAGGGCAACAGAGTGAGACTCTGTCTCCAAAAACAAAGAAAAAAAAAAGAAACTAATACGCACATTTCATCTACGTTTCCCAGCCTCCCTACAGTGTAGGTGGGGCTGTGAGACTTCATGGACTATGGGTGGGTGTGACGTGCACCCCAACAGGGCCCAACTTTTGAACTGTCTTGTGTAACTTCTTATAATCTCTCTCTGTCTCTGCTGTTGGTTAGGTAGTCAAGTGCACAAACTCAGTAGAGGATTTCGAGGAGGCTCTAGCGAATGGCAGAACCACTGGATGCAAACAGCCTGGAATCCTAGTCACCATTTAGAGGTCTTCCCATATCAGCTTATATAGAGAAAGCCACCTCATTTTTCAGCAACCACGAGATGCTCTATTTCATGGAAGCACATTTGTATTTAACAAATTCCTATGGATAGATTGTTTATAGTCATTTGCTACTGTAAACAATAGTGCAACTACCTCTATCTGTCTATATCTATCTTTTTTTTTTTTGTATACTTACAAGAAGAACATTCTTGTAAGTTGCATTTAAAAGGTACTTGTATTTTTAAGGTTTTGCACCTTAAAAACTTCTGCCTGGACTGTTCTTTCCTAAGACAAGGCTGGCTGCTCCTTGTCATTGAGGCTTCAACTTAAAAAGTACTTGATATTACATCACACTATTTTATTTTTATTTATTTTTATTTTTTTATTTTTTTTTCTCTTTCCAACTGTGAACATGATGGATTTCTTGAGGTTATTTCCACCATTCCCTGATGCTTTATTTCAAAACATTTCAAACCACAGAAAAGTTGAGAGAATAGTATAAGGAACACGTACAGATCCCGCACCTAGATCTTTGCTTTATGTCTTTGAAAGTAAGCTGTAGAGGTCATCACACTTCATGCCTGAGTACTGAAGCTTGTAACTTCTAAAGGAAGGACGGTCTTTAGTGTAATCATCATATATCATCACACCCAGGACACCAGCACTGGTAGTAGACTGTCATCTAACAGTCCATTTCAATTGGGTGGGGGGTCATCAGTTTTAAGTATTAATAGCTTCTTTCTACACTTTAATGTGTCTTCCTCTCAGGATGGAGTCTTTGGCAAGTGCTTAAATTTGTCAGAAACAAAAACGCAAAGTGGAACTGGAGCACATCACAGACCTTGGACCAGAAGTGGCCTGTGAGGTACTGGAAGAGATGCCACCGTGTGAGTTGATGGTCACACAGCTTGAGGACCATGAAGCCCAGACAGGAGAACACTCCTAGAGCTAGGTAGGTGGCTGAGGAGGTGCTGCCATACCGACGCTGGGCACGCAGGGCCTGCCCCACTGTGGCCACCACGTGAACACCCAGTGTGGCCTCGAACCCGTGAGGGTGCAGTAGTGCAAGGCCGTAACTGGCCAGGGAGAGGCACTCGATGGACAGGAACAACCAGGGCTTCCAACCCCTGTCTAGGTAGAAGCACCAGGCCAGCGGCCACGCAAAGATGGGCAAAGTGAGCCACTGGTCAAGCACCGCGGCGGAGTGCATCTGGGTCCAGATGCGCAGCCACTGCACAGGACCGTAGAGCAGCGCCATGCCCGCGAAGACGGCTTCCAGGTAGCTGGCCCTCCCCATCTCCACTGGGAACCCTGGGGCACTGCTGTTCCTCCGCAACCAGTACACACCCAGGAGCACGTAGCCCAAGTTCACGAGCGAGTTGAAGGGCATGGCCAGGAAGGCTGGGAGGCCGGCCACGGGCACTTCTGCATAGTGCTCATAGCCCACTTGGACGAAGACACCCTCGAAAATGCCTGTGTAGACGGTAGCAGCACACAGGCAGCCTGCTACAGCCACATGAAAGAGGGCCTGCCCCAACTCTGGCTTCATCTGGAACCCTCAGTGTGATCTGGGGCAGAGAGCTTAAAAGCGCAGCAGCCAACAGCCACTGTGATTTCAGAATTCAGATAAACAGCTTTCGGAAAACACTCCTTGGCTTCCCAGCTGAGCCAAGGAGAGATAATGGCTTCTACATATGTATGTGTTCCTGTGGTTGACTCTCCTTATTCCTG